TAACTTGTACAAAAAACAATAATTGGTTGTATTATGAATTGTGTTATTTTGTATAGCGAAGGATTTATTTTTAATGGGATGAAGTATAGTAACGCATTAGGTTAATAATTTAGGCGATTTATGAGAGCAATCCTTTCTGCAATTGCAAAAAATTTTTTTATATTTCAAAAATTGCTAAAACTGACTTGTTTGACTAAGTAACCTTATCATCTAATAGTCCTATGATCATGATTAGGCAAGAGTTTCGAAACTGCTGATATACCGTAAAGAGTAAGAATAGTAAATTACTTTTCGATGTTAGATATTTTTCTGCCTATATGGCCTTTTTTTTAACTAGCAAACATTATATTACAAATTTAATGCATTTAACAGGGCTAATGTAGGTTTTCAATTTTTTCTTTTACTTTCATACCTGTAACTTATATTAAAATACTACTTGTACCGTAAATTTGGTTTATTACCAAAATCTTATATAGTATATTAAGGGGTTATTCTTCATCAGCTCACCATACTAGGAACAATTACATTGCCTATAAACCGTATAAAAGTCTTGATATATATTTAATCGATATAATGGTATTACAGTACTTTCAATTTACGAGTATCTGCGTCTCTTGCATTGTATTTCAGCAGTAATAAAAAGTTTCATAGTGATAATAACGACCGCGTGGATATCGTCCACAATTAATTGCCATTTCGTGCGACAGAGCGTTTAGCTAGTAAGTTGAGAAGAAAAAATTGTCCAAATAACACTTTTATTTCGAATAAAGATGGAGCAACTGATTTTAGTTATTAGAAAGAAATTACTACTGATTTATTTTTTAGCCATTTTACGTAAAGTATGAGTATAACTTAAGAATAAATTCGGGTAGCATTGCTGGTACTGTCGTTTAAAAATTATCCCATTGGCGAGGTTTACTGCGTTCCATTTAGAAATAATTATAACCAAAGAATTAAAATTAAACCGTCTACGTTATAAACTTTATTCAGAATCAACAATCCACGTTATACCAAATGTATGAGTATTTATATTCCATTTCTTTTAAATTAATAAAAAGACAAAGCTACAACTGTTTGTTAAATTATCGAAAGGGTTTTGCAACATCATATTTCTACTCCAATGTAAATATCCAGCGGATATGTTTTGCATTATATCTATGGTTTTTATGATGATTTAAGATTTGATCTCATTCGACTGCTTAAGCGATTATACTGCTGCGTTGTAAGCCATTATATGTCAATATAAGCATCTAGAGCCTAGTTCGGTGATATACTCAACAAGTTCTATTTCTTGACAATGCTAGTTAAATTTGACCTGACAGTTAAATGTCTTATGCATTTGTATCGTTTTGTCTCTTGCCTTTTATCCGTATTCAACGTTACTTCATTCTTTTGGAGCTTAATAAAGTAAGAGGTAATGGTGTCTGACTATCTACCGGTATAGTGCGCCATCAGCATCTCAATTTTATATTACATTTTCGTCTAGCTCTATGGTTACATAAGATATAATCTCATCAAGCTGTTTTAATTAATCGTTGATCTACAGTACTGTATTTAAATTCTGTACATTGAAGGAAATACTGGGTTGAGTGCGTATTTTTGAAAGAATCTTACCTACAGTTACATAGTAGTAAGACTTTCAATTTCTGTTACTCATTATAAAACAAATTACTGACGCATTCTTGCACTAAACTGTAAATTACTGAAAGTCGCAATTTTTGCTATAAAAATTATCATCAAAAATTAAATCTTAATTGTCATTGCAACACCTCACGTTTTACATATTTCTCTATCATCAGGAATTTTATTACCTAGAGGATATACTAAAATTGAACGCGCCATTCAGCTGGCTATTGATATGATTAATGAAAATGAAATCGCTGATATTAAGTTAAATCACAGCAGACTTTCCACGACATTTCATACAGCAGACTTGTATAGCCCTTATGATAATTTTCACAAAGGTAAAGAGATCGATTTGAAACTACACTAGATTTATTTCTAAAGAGTTTAGGTTGACCAATTCTTAATTCTAAAACTAGCTTGTAATGCTATGAAAGAAGAAATTGTGGCTATCATTGGACCATTAGTATCCGGTGCTACCATAGGAGCACAATTTGCTTGCTCAACATTAAATATGCCCCATATTGCACCTTTTGCTACCGACGCTAACCTGGCGAATAATCCAAGTTATACTTATCTTCTTCGAATGTTGCCAGTATCCACTATTGAAAGCTTAGCTATAGCCTCTTTTATTGAGTATTATGGATGGACTAAAGTGGCTATATTAGCATCTAATACGGATTTTGGTATCGTAAAATGTTTCTATGATAAATGAATGAATAGGCAAATTGTAATTTAATGAAATCAAGAAGAGATAGAAGTTTGATACAAATCTAGTTTTATTTATGGAAGACTGTATATAATTAACTAGGGATAAGTCTACTTTTCCCGGGTAAATTAACTTTTGTAAACATTATTAAGTTATAGATGCTTGATTGCTTCATTTTCCCTTGTATCTGTACTAGGTGTTAGCGTTTTATCGAAATTTCGGGAAATTGCATCGAGAAAATCTTGGAGAATATTAGCATTTGAGCTATTTAAGATAGATCAAGCTGGAAATTTATTGGATATCGAAACCAACTTGCAGAGCATTAAAAAATCAGGTAATTTGATAAGAAATTATATTTTGAGGATGACAGATTCAACATTCTAGATGCTGTGCAACATCCGAGTTTTATCCCACTTAGATTCTTCCGAAGCATTTTCTAATATTTTATTACACCACAGTACCACAAGTTGTACGTTTTACAGCAAATTTCAGGTAGTCTTTAGTGAGATAATTACATTAGCGTATGGTCCGAGCTTTAAGTATTAGTCTTACAATTTTCACTAATACACAACACTGCTGGCCTGCCGTAGTATATATAAGGCTGTAAAGTTTGTAGTTAGAAGCGCTTTTCTGCAGCTTAGTGTACAGTCTAGATGTCTTAAAATAAAGTACAGGTGTTTGTAGACTATTCTATTTTCGACAGTTCTGTCACATAAATAACCACATGTCCATTTCTTTTTTAAGGCGCAAGGATAGTCATTATTAATTGTTTAACGTCTGAAGCATTAAAAATTTTTGAACGTGCACGAGAGATGGGAATGATGGATAGCGGATGGTGTTGGATAGCAGTAGATGCTATAGCTGCAGAGGTATACGCAGTTCAAAAGTATGCTAGTTAGGATACGTACAGTATACAGATCGCGCCAATCATCCAACGTAGTTGCTTGAATTATATTTTGCTCAATGAAATATTTTACTGGTGGCCTACAAAAATTGCACAGCAACTACGGTATTTAAAATTAGTACTGATAACTCAGTAGAAGCTGCTGCAATTCTTTCAGAGTTTCACTAGATAGCAGCCCAACAGATCCTCAATAAATGTAGGATGGCAACAGAAGTAAATATTAATGTTGTATGCGACAAAATTAGATTGAGATTACCATAGAGATGAACGTAACTGAAATCTAAAACCACAAAAGTCAAAAAATAAGAGATGATTATTAAATGTGGGAAACTTATGTCTTATACAGTGACCTCTCTTTTCAATCTTTTTAGACTTCTCAGCTACCTCCTAATTTGAATGGTTTAATTGGATTAGCATATCATAATAATCGGGGAAAGCTATATCAGAACGTATCAGCCAGGTATTACCTTCGCTACAATGAAACTATAGAGGTATTATAAACGATCTCCAAAATTATTATAGAAATTGCTAGAATGTTATATAGTATAAAATGGCGTAGTAGTTTATGATTAATATCTAATCTGAGTTAAAACTTTGGTATCAATAGATCATTTAAAGTTTAGTGTAAAACCCGAGTAAAAATAATTTTTATTACTGTAGTTTGATTATTTTTTTACGCATTGATCTGCGTTTCCAAGTTAAATTATTCTCCGATCTTTTCCTACAACCTAGCCCCTATATCTCCATTATTTTGATTCTGTTTTGGCTGTTGCCTATGGCATTCAAGCCATGGTGCGCGAGGGGAAGCTGCCAAAGGCAGCTAAGGTAATTTGTGATAAATCTAATCCAAAGCCCTGGAAGCAAGGTCATCAAATGTTTCATTTCATTAAAAAGGTCTGTTTTATCACTATCTTTCTTACTTAATAAGATCAGTTTACGAGTAGTTATCGTGTGCAAACCTATTTCAATACAAATTTAGAATATGAACATCAGAAAATATTGAAATTTACTTGGATTTTCCTTCCTCAGGCTTCAGGGCCATCGACAACCTCATCGATCAATTTCAATGCAAATGGTGGTCCTAGCAATGTCGGCTACGATATTATCAATTTACATGGTCAATCATGGGCTAAGGTAGTCACGAAACTTGTAATAGCTAATATTACCTCTATGCCTATATTTTAGTAGTCTACTGGAAGATTTTTGGTCAGTAATTTCTTATCAGATTGCATGTGCTTATTTAGGTTGGAAGTTGGACTAACCATCGCAACTTAATTCTAGATCGCAATCGAATCTATTTTCTTAACGGAGTCAATCATATTTTAGATTCTGGTTCATTTATTGGTGGTAAGACTTTGACTGTGACCACAATTTTGGTAAGTTTGTTCTATAGTTTTGTTAATGAATTTATTTAATCGTGTATTAGGTGGAATCGCAGGCGTTTAAAATATTTGCAAGATGTCGTAAAGAGCCATCCTAATTGCACATATAGTTATTAACATAGTTGTTTTGCTCCTAATTGTACGTAAAAGATAATACGCATACATTATTTTTTAGTAATCGAAAGCTGCTATCTACTTTGCATGTATTAAGATAATCGTATTATGGCACAGGATAAATTCAAATGAGCAAGGAATTGATTAGATCTACAGCACATATTTGCGGTGCAATCGTATAACCTAAATTGGCTAAATTTTATGTTCTATTTCTTAGGATGCGCCATTCACAATGGCAGATCGAGATTATGCTATAACTGGCAGAAAATACAGAGGCTATATTATTGATTTACTCGATGAAATGAGTAAGAATTTAAATTTTACTTATAAAATAAGAATAGTTGCCGATGGTCAGTATGGTTCACAATACACCGACAAAAATGGAGCGTTAAAATGGACCGGCGTAATAGGCGAAGTGATAGATGGGGTAAGTACCATACTATTATGTAACTTTACCCACTATTATAAATAGGATCGTAATTACGTTTTGTCAATAATGATACAGATGTTAGCCGATATCAGATGCATAAAATATTATGCTATTGGTCTCATACAAGGTTACGAAGTAGTAAATATTTCTACGATAGATAATATTGATGTTTAAAATATTTAACAGTTGGTATCTTGAACAAGAATCAGGCTACTATAATTCCTGCTGCAGATAAATTAATCCGTTTTACGATACTAATTTAATCTTACAACCTCGATTTTACGTCACTTCTTACATATCTAATCGTTGAACAATACTAGCAATATATAACAAATAAACAATACTGCGTATCCAAGTCTTATCCATCTAATTATAAGTTATTAATCAGGTACCGGGTATCATATCTAAATTAATTTAAACTGTAACGTTTTTACAAGGATCACCGCGAATACAAACGCGAACAGATCGGTTAACTTTACAAAGATTACAGTAAAGAGAAAATATACGGATAATATTGATATATTATAAATATCAGTTGTGATATCTAAATCCAATAAAGGCATATTATTTCATAAGGGCTACAGTAAAGACATCAGATATAGATGCAATCTGCTAAATATAAATATTCAATACAACGTACACAGATCCCATTTTTTTAATAGATCTTAAATAATTTAATCAATCCAAATTTGTTACAGTTACAGTACTGAAAGAATTACTATAAGACAACACCGATACGAGATAATGAAAATTTTACTAACTAAATCATAAATCAATTTAAATCTATCTATTACATTGTCTCGTGAGATCTAATGTAAAGACTCACTTGGAATTCATGTTAATTACATTATAAATGATTTAGTTGTAATCAGTCATGATATCTGAATCAATGTAAATCATGACATAACCATTACAAGTATTACTATATGGCTAAATATATGATTTATTTTAGATCTTATACTCACTTTTCGTATACAATACACGTATTAACGCTAAGTAGACAAGCTATAATTACCTTACTAAATGACTACGGTGGTCTGCTTAGTTAATATTGACGAAAATTTTGCACACTTACTAGTGACAGATTATTACAGTGTAGATGGCTATTCTTCCCTCAACGCTCTTTCTGCTTCTTTAATAGATAGCCGATATGGCCGCTGCACCACTCTCTATAACCCCAGAACGACAACAAGCACTAGATTTTACTATGCCATTCATGAATCAAGGTTTAACTGTCTTAACGTTAACGAAAAAAAATGAGGCCAATTCTTTATTTCAAGCATTTTTACCCCTTAAAATTGAGGTTTGGATTGGAATTTTAATATCACTGATAGTGGTAGCAATAGCGACTACATGTATGAATCGATGGAGTCCTTTCGATTATTATGGTAAAGCTGCAGAAAAGCTACAAATGTTGGAAGATCGCTATCAAAGTGGAAGCAAACTACAGCATAATTATGACTATTGGCAAATGGAGAAGGAAGAAGCATTGGAAGCCTTTTCGTTTGGGAATACTTTGTGGTATACATTGGGATCCTTTCTGTCCCAAGGGGCTGATAGAACACCAAGATCGATATCAGCACGTTTAATTACAGCAATTTGGTGGTTATCTTCTGTTATTATTATTGCTACCTACACTGCTAATTTAACTGCCTTTTTGACTGTCAGCAGTTTACAAACTAGTATGTAGCATGCCATCAGTAAACTAAATTAGTAGCATTATTGAACTTTTTACATCTATTAGCTATTGCTAAGGCTAGCCTGATTTGATTTTATTGATTTCGTTCTGACAGAATGTTTGCATTTATTTTTATTTATATGATTGGAAATACTAAAAAATTTCATTAGCATTTAATTCCTTACATGATTTGGCAAAAAGTTCAGGCATGGGATATGGAGTTTTAGCGAATAGCAGCATTGAATATTTCTTCTTGAACACTGCTGTCTCACCTTATCAGGAAATGAAGCATAATTTAAAGAATGTTCGTAGCAATATGGAAGGTGTTCAGCGCGTACTTTCTAGTACAACTGAGCATTATGCGTATATTGGAGATGCTGCAGTACTTAAATATGCCAAAAGTCAGTATTGTAATTTGACTACAGTTGGAAGTTTTAAAGAAGACAGCTTTGGCTTGGCGCTACCAAAAGAATCGCTTTACTGGAAAGAAGTTAGCATTCAAATATTAAGATTTCGTGAGGAAGGGTTTCTAGAAACTTTACAGACAAAATGGTATTTAGTAAGAAATAATTATTATTCTTTAATTCTTAAGTAAAGTGAATATTAAATATTTCATCACCATAGTAACGCAATCTAACGCGTAGATCGCTGCAGAGAAGATATCTTTTATTTTATAAGCTCGACCTTATTTACCTGCTAACCTATATACAGTTCATACCGTACGGATGTTAACACATAATATCGCATATTTCTACTTATCATTATGCGAGGTACCGTACTACACCAAATTACATAAAAATTAATAATCATCTGCAATATTATAGCGCTACGAGTATTTTAGCTGCTACATATGACAGTGATAATATTGTTGGTGACGATTTATAATCATAATTAATTTGATTGGGAAAAGGTTCGAAGGGAAGTGCAAAGCCGTTTCTGAATCAACAAGTCATGATCCTGTTAAATTTGAAAGTTTAATCGGGGTATTTTATATACTGTTGGCAACGGTAGGATTTAGCTTTGCCATACTGATTACCGAATGGATTGTGGCTGCTATCAAGGATACTCGAAGGCATTATATGAAGGTAATCAAATTTATTGAAGATTGAATTTCTGGCAAAAGATACATTAAATCAATACATGAGTTAGTACAAGTTATTTAGGAAATTTTCTGATCGTCTAATTTATTCCTTAATTAGATATCCTTTGCAGGCGCCGTAAAGAAACGATTTCTATATATCATAAATGATTCATTTTCAGCGACATTTTGTAAGGATAAAACAGACAGATGCAATACAGGAGAGTTAAGCGTGACTAAGACTAAAAGGACGTCAACATTAATATAAACTACCGCCTTGCAAGAGATGATACGGATATCGTACTTATAAAGTGCTTTTTATAAGGCAAATGAATACATTAATGGAAAGAAATTTATTGCTACAAATGCATCAGTATTCTGTGCCTATAGCATCATGCCTACTTGCAGTTATTTTATATTACTTAGCTTAGCTAATAATACAAGACTATTTCTATACGGTACTAAAGTAATACAAGAAGTCCTTTTTTCATAAGTACTAGTCATACGTTTAATCATTATTCTAGTGTGAACATGATAAATCGTTGTAACAACTTGTTCATATAGTACATACATGTTCGGCGTATTGAACGATTTGTGCGTCCAAGTAATTATAAAAATTGCTTTTAGAATAACGGAAGTATGATAGGAGAGTGTTTATATCAAAAAAAAGTGATCAGAATAAATTACTTCAGTCTTAGACTTGATATAGAGCAGCCCTAAACATCATAAGATTAAAAATTAATATGCAATTGTACGAAAATAGATAAATTAAACGTAGATAGCTAGATCACGATAGAAAATTAAAACTAATCTTACGATGTAATTAGCAGGATGTGATTGTATTGCTAAAAGAATCTTTCCGTAACTGATTGCATGTAAATGTTGGATTTGCTGTAATAATATTGAGATGCGGTAGTCGGATCGTAATTAGCTAGTCCTTGGTAGTTGTTAGACTTATTAGACAAATCTAATTTATGCAATAAAGTACTATTTACAAGAAATTGTAAGGTAGTTCTTGTTTTATTATTATGTAGGCACTTTATCACCACTGAGTATAAACGTTGTACTACAGGGTGAATTTTTATAGATACGGTAAATCAAATAGTGAAATATGCTTCCATCCTCGAAGGCAATTTGTTCTAAGAATAGACTATAACATTGCTACGATTCTGTAGTATTAGTTTAAAATGAAGCTGCTTGTTAGCGTTTCATCGAGATTTCGATTCGGTGTAGCTTGAGGCTAATCACCCAACTTAATACTGCATAAGTTATGTAGATATCGGTTTGTTACGGTATTTTAATTTGAAACTGTACCCAACTTAATTTAATCGCACATAAAAGTACACATGTTTATAAATTAGAGGAGTACCAAATAGCAGAGATTGAATACACTTACGGATGTCCTAGTTGCAATTATAAGAGATCTCTTATAGCAGTTGGTTACTACCGCTGAATAAAGAAGCTTAATCCCATCGTAAGTGTATCTTTTGAACTTTAGTCAGAGTACCTCGAGCAATCAGCGAATACCTTTGTTAGGTCTCAAACCGTAGATTACTATAATTATTATTGCTTTGACCTCATCAATCTAACTAATATTGCTAGAGTGTACACTTGCACTTCCAAGATAATTTTAACGATAATGAGTGATTAGCCGACTTCAATACTAGAAGATTCCATAGCACTAAGCGCAGTAATAATCCATTTTTATCGAAAATAAAGATTAAAATTTGAACAGAATTTGAACTCCTCATTAGCTGTTATGGTGTTTGAGGATTGCAGAATGAGTTTGCAATGGATTGTTAGTATAAATATAGTATTTTGCATGATTATTCAATAGTTAGCAGTTTCCAATTTTTGTGTCTTTAAGATGATTTCACCAGCAATGCCATTTGAAAACGGCGACACTGATGATGCCTATAATTAATATATAGAAATGAAACTTTTCTTAACGTATTTATTTGAACGATTTGTATGTTATCAATTCAGAAAATTCTTGTTAGGAAGTAATTATAAATTAGTAAAATCATAGTTTACCTATTGTTTTCACTAAAAGTTGATTAAATTTTTACTTGTAAAATAAAGATAAGTCAACACAAATTTGTGGTTTTGACCAAGATTTCTTTAATATCAGTACGATGATCTTTGGACTTGTTTAAGGATGCAATTCTAACACTGAAACAACACATGTCTAAAGTATCTAAAATACACTGTTTGCTACCACAGAAATGATTTCTTGTTTGCTCTGCAATATCATGTCTAGAAGTTACCTATTTATTTTTACTATGCATTATTAACAATATACGACTAATTTAGTATCTATAAATGACTGACTAATGTTTCCCAATCGTATAACCAATAAAATTTTCTAATCGTAATGTTTTGCAATACAAGCCATTGAATTTTAGCAGCAGCGTATACATGCTACGAATACATACTACAGGACTATAAAAATGTTTTCATTCTGTCCTCTACTGTAGCTACTATACTTGAAAATCTACATAAAGCATTATTAGTTAGGTCCATATTTATTTCAAAAACGAGATACTGACTGCATTCAATAATTTATAACGGAATCATATTATATACATCTATTTACTCTCATCTTTTCGGCGGATGTGTATTAAACTCCAAATGATTATTTTTCTGGTAAATAATTCGAGCCTGAAGATTGTTACAAAAGGAATAGAATTGAAAGGAAAATTATGAATTAAAATCGGAAGGTTGTCATTTATGCTGATGCAATACACGCCCTTAAACTTTTCCACTGTCAATAATGCATTACTTTGTCCCCCATAATTAGAGATTTTACATCAAAATTTATAACTATATGTTGTTTTCTATACAGTAAACTCTATTTATTGGCGAGAACGATCGATTTTCTAACATCATTAATGAGTCTGTATTAAATTATAATTCTAAAGTTGTCTGATAATGTACGCATTGATCGTAACCAAGTCTCAGATCGATCATAGTTTTACGCATATAATATCTTTAGTATTATAATTTTGTATTATGTTTCTTTGGTGCTTACTTGAGGAAAGTAGTGACGAGACTGAAAAAATTAAATTCTAGTATTACAATATTGCAGTAATTAATTGTACATAAATCATAACAAGTTTAATCATATGATTTGAAACTAATTGGAGTAGAGAATGTCATACTTATTTATAAATTATTTCGAATAATTCAATTGGTAAGATTACTTTGTTGTGGGATGGACTTCTAAAGGTAGATGTTGCAAAAGAGTCTAATTGAAGAATAAGGGCTATTTACTACAGATCCCTATTTTTGATCAGACTTCCAAGTCCTAGCTATGATAAATCTCATTGGAGAATCTAAGTAAGTTAAAAATTTAACTGTTACATGGCAAGCTATTATCCAAGGTTTTGACAATTAACTTTTAATGATTTGTACGTATCCATAAAATATTGAATGCGTCAATTTTAAAGGTTGCGCTATTAAAGAATACGTTATTTAATCAACGTTGTGCTTATTTCTATCATTTAGATAAAGATCGAGAATTTGCTCCGACACCAAGTAATTAGAAAATACGAAATGTTAGCATCATTTTTCATTTATTTCCCATTATTTTGTGGATCAGTAGGTTTAGTTGCCGGGGTTAACGTTAGGACAAAAGCAACATATCGCCTTGGTGAGTAATGTAAAACTCTTATATGATCTGAAATTATATTACTGATAGGTGACGAACTACATTTAATAGGCACAATACTGTAAGCATCTGATTTAATGTTAGTTTATAGACTTCGATAGGTAAAAATTAAACTTGATGCATTAAAAGATGATGCATTACTCGATATTTGCTAAAGCACGCATTATAGATATACTAAAAGTATTAAAGACTGTCTATAGTTAGCCATAGACACATACGAAATCTGATTTTCCTTTAATGTTGCTCATAAAAATAATTAAATTTTATATAAAACGAAACTGATTTATTTTAATCACGTAGATTTAGATGGAGATAACTTAGATTTTAGTGTACTAAAAGACTGCCGAATTATTCCACATATACAGCAGATACATCATAAGTATCGAATGGTTGTCTGCATTTAAATATGATATTTTGTCATCTGATCTTCCATACATATCTCATAAAATTATGTGTTTTTGCTAGGTTTTTCATAACGAAATTAATTTATATTCGTTTAATACGTATAGTACTCGTAAATAGTCAAGGATTTCTATGAACTTAATCTAAACAGGGTTTTAATTAATTGTATTCAAGCTCTAACATTAAATGGAGTTAAAGATGTGTCGCACACTACTAGTGACAAAGTAGTCTACACACGCCAATCCTTGCGGAGAACGCCACTTACTAACTTAAAGAGGCGAGATTAGCTATATCACCAAATAATTCAGTTCCAACGACCGAATACTATGGTATAATTATAGCGTCACAGATGATGTAGACGAGATAGTCAGAGATTTACTATCATTTATTACTGAAGGAATCTTGGCAAATAATTAGGACGAGCTTACGCATCGTAACAAGATGATATTTCATAGAGGAATTAATTTATATTAGTTTAATACGTATAGTACGCGTAAATAGTCAAGGATTCCTATGAACCTAATCTAAACAGGGTATTAATTAATTGTATTCAAGCTCTACAATTAAAATAGAGTTAAAATAGAGTTAAAGATTGCTCTAAATGGTGCCTTATTACTCCATAAGTCGAATTTAAGAGATTGTCAGCCGATGAGCTTGTTATTTGACTACGGTATATGAGAAAAGGGGTATTTTTTCAATGGCTAATAAATAAGGTCATAATCGTTAATGAAACTTGCCGTATATTATGTACCTGTGATTTTTAAATATATGCTTTGTATGATATTACAGAGTTTTAATTATTCTGACGTTATATTTGTGGTTTGAAAAGTGTTGAAGAATGTTTTCGCAAATTAATTTCTAAATTAATTATTATATCCTTCATAGATATTTTGGTATTTTATTGTACCTATTACTTAAAGCATTTTAATAGTAAAGTTTTAATATCGTAAAAAAATAAAAAATTATCAGTTAATAATAATCGGTTAACAACAAAATCTTATGTACATTACCGTACTTTGCCAGCTATTGGTACTAATGCATTTAAGTTGTCGAATACTTTAGCTACCTTTGCTTTTATGTGAATTTTATTATAATGTAATAAAGCAGATAATAAACTTACCTACAATGCTAATAATTGCATGCGTCTAAACAGTATTCTATCTGTTTACGTAATGTTTGAATTAATGAATGACTGAATTACTTAATTTGATCTAGCATTAGCGTATGATACTGTAAATAGGCTAACTCGATAATAACTTATTACAAGTACCAGATCTATTCTGGCTTTTAGTTGCAGGCTATTTGCTGTAATTTAGTGATTTTGTATAATTTAGACCGGATTGGCATCATACATATTAGGTTATTAATTTTAATAACTTATAAGCATATTTAGTTTTCTAGATGAGCACTGTAACTAAAGACTTTAAATTATTTCTTGCTTTGTTTTCATTATCTCATAATTTTAGTATCGGAAAGTTAGACAAGATTTCTACGATACAGAAATTCTGATTTTATTCAAGAGATACAATTATCTACAGTCCATTAAAATACCGGAGCTACAGTATTGATCAATAAATTTTTCATGTTATTGATAAATCGTTAGTATTGCAATGGATTTAGAGACCACATAATAGCATTAAAAGAGAATTTAATTCAGTCATCCTTTCGAGTATTATTAGCGTTATATTTCACTGCTATACTGCATATTAGTATGCCTGTATAAGCTTGTATTCGTAAATAAGTCTCTTATTTCGCTCATCATGTAGGGATTCTACTACCTGCGAGATATAATAAAATAGAACGAGCTGTTCAATTAGCTCTAGATATGATTAATAGTAATGAGATTGATGATATTAAGTTGAATCACAGCAAGATATCCGCATCATTTCATATCGCAGACTTATATAGCCCATACGATAATTTCCATAAAGGTGAGTGAAAGTAGATTGCATTAAAACAGACACTATGATTATTTAAAGATAGACGTATTTTGACTGATCTTAATTTCGATCTGAAAATAGCATGTGATGCCATGAAGGAAGGAGTTGTAGCTATCATCGGACCAATACTTCCAAGTGCAGCTGTCGGAACTCAAATTGCTTGCTCAAAGTTGCATATGCCGCACATTGCACCTAATACAGTAGATGCAAATCTAGTTAACAGTCCAAATTATAATTTCTTACTTCGAATGCTTCCAGTATCTACTGCCAAAAGTAAGGCCCTTGCTTCTTTTATTGAGTATTATGGTTGGACTAAAATGGCTCTATTAGCATCTTATGCGGACTCTGGTACGATGAATATCTACTCATAAGTTGAAAGAATAGCACAATCTAGTTTACAATTAAAAATTTTCTGATTTTGATAATATAACCATAATGTATATTCTGTATACTAATTATCTTACATTATAAATGGTGATGCTAAATAGCTAAACCATTTTTATTTATTAAGATTGATTAACTTTACCTATCAACAACTATACAGTTTTTCGTATTGAAATTTTTTTCCCTGTCTACATGACATATTCTGAAATAGGTATCGATGTTCTATCAAAATTTCGAGAAATTGCATCTAGTAAATCATGGAAGATTCTAGCCTTCGAACGCTTTAAAGTAGATAAGGTCGGCAATGCACTGGAAATTAAAGCTAATCTGCAAAATATTAAAATGTCAGGTAATTCTTATTTAGATTATGTAAAAGATTGATTAAAGACATGAAACCGTGAACGGCCTTTTAGGTATTAATGCTGCTACAAGGAAATATTGTTTGGTATCGATGTAGTATAATAGTGATATGAATTTTAGTATTAATAGAGTTTAACATAGAGTAAAGTAATTGAACAAATCGTGTAAATCGATAGTAATTTCGCAACGTCTCATATTGTCAATATCGGTATAGGATTAAATTAGCTAACGAGTTCAAAATTTTTATCATATACATGTCTTGTGCTCGAATATGTCAATATCACACATAATATGATAACTAATTGAAAATATAGAATTACTCGCTACATTATTTTCTTCGACGATATGCGTCCCAAATATATACCTTAGTGTACACTTATTGTAAAGCAAAGAATGCTCAAAATGACACGATATATTTGATTTTTGAGCTAAGTAGAAATTGTAATTAGATTTTTTGATACTTTCATTCTTCTTAGGCTCCAGAATTGTGATCGTAAAGTGTCTAACGTCTCAAGCATTGGAAATTTTTAAATATGCACATAGGATGGAAATGATGGGAAGGGGATGGTGTTGGATTATGGTTGATGCGACAACCTCAGAGGTGCAGTCCGGGTTTAATTTTAGGATTGTATCGGGAAGCTAAGAAATTTACTTATTACGTAGAACTAGTGATTGTCATCAATTTAACATTTTTTGTAGACAATTTCATTAATGCATATCATTTATTTGCCATTGCCATTGGAATTGATTAACATTATGGGCAATAATAGTAGTGCTAGCTGCTTAATCATGCGATCTTACGCCTAATATTAGAGCAGAACTTGAGTACGGCAATCTGTGAATAAAAGTGTATTCATTATTAGTAATCAAGATTAATAAAATTAATGATGTAACTATTAGGCGTACTTATGCTGCTGTTAGGTGCATAGTTTACCTTCCAATCTGAATGGTTTAATTGGCTTGAAATATCATAGCAGACAAGGACAATTATATCAAAGCGTATTCACTAAATATTATCATCGATACAATGAAAGTATTGAGGTACCGGTATTTAAAATATTAAGTAATGATTTAAAATAGATTCAGATTTATTTCCGCTCCACATAGCAACTTACTTCCAATAAATATAATCGTGATTACTAATTCACGAAAAATTATTATTCTGCTCTCTATATTTATGCAGCTTATTTTAGTATACAGTCCATATCTTAGTAAATTTCTTGATAATATATTTATCGATGCATTCTTTGATCATTATCACAGCTTTAATATTTAGAAAAAATAACAGAAAGTCTGATCAGGATATGATTTTATTTAATACTGTGTTGTGATATATACCAATCACGAAATTCCAAATTTTAGAAAAATAAGGGCTTTATTGAATCTTATACATAGATTAACTACACAGCTCTACTCTAGCCGAATACTACTACTAAAGACTTCTAGAACGAACTAACAGAATAATCTAAAGTTGCATGCTTTTATACTTTCCGTAGCATTCGCAGCTACAATCCGCATGGCAACCTTTTACCTTATTTTACACATAGTTAAATTATTCTTAGTAAGACTATTCTATTGCGGACCATCATTAATCCAATATGGATACGACTACAGTACTTACGTAGACATTATTCACACCAGCCAAAGTACAATGAATTAACCATATCCTAATATATGATTTACAGTTCTATTTTTACCTATAGCCATATTAGTAACTCAACAGCTTACTGTATATAGCCATCTGTACTCTAGCATAGCGTCTCTACCACTACAGTCTATAGTTACAGCTACCAAATATCTCTTAGGATAAATATCTACCGTACATTATACTACACATGGCTAACAGTCTACAATCACAATACTAAGTTACATTACATGTGTCTTCTCTCGGTATTACTTATATTCCTATTTAGCTACTGTCATCAATCTGATAAGGACGAGATTTCATTCTGAATTTGTTCCTATTTGATATTATATTTATCAACGTATCATTACCTATATACCTGCAGCATTTCGAAAATCTATTACCTGATAAGAGTGAATTCATTTTAGATTGTCTTCTTGATAATGCTCAGATCCATGTATTAGTAAAATCATTGATCCGATGATAATGTGATTTTATCTTATGATGCACATCCATGATAGAATTTTTATCGGTGTACTGTTTAGTCACTCTACCTTCAATATTTTGATTCTGTTTTGGCCGTTGGCTATGGAATTCAAACCATGCTAAAAGAAAAAAAGCAAATAAAAACTAAAAAATTAGTATGTACTAGAACGAATCCGATCCCATGGGTAGACGGTAACCAAGTATTTAAATCTATTAAAAAGGTATAGATGTGAAATTGCATGCTATTTCTCGCATTTCTAATTGGTGATTAAATTATGCCTCTTAAAAAATATCTAGTCTAATAATAATTGTTGAAATCTTTGATACAATATATCGCAATAAATGAGCGAGCATTTCTTATCCATGAGTATTTCCCTATTCTAGGCTTCTGGTCCATCCACGATGCTATCTATTAATTTTACTTCTGATGGTGGTCCGGCTTATATTAACTATAATATTGTGAATTTACATGGTGAAACTTGGGCTCAGGTAATAATTAGCACGATCATAAAATTAATATAAATCGCATTAAATCTAAGCTACATAACCGAGAGTTGGTTATTACTCTTTTTTCTATGAATTAGGTTGGAAATTGGAGCAACCATCATAGCTTAAGTCTAGATCACGATCGAACCTATTTTCTCGAGGGAGTTAACCGTATAAGTGACTCTGGCTCCTTCATCAGTGGCAAAAATCTCACTGCAACAATCATTTTGGTAAGACTACTAGCTTTAAGTATAAAATTATAATATGTAGTAGATGCAGATCAGATTATTTCTTGTAATGATAATTGGAAATTGCTATTGAAAATGAAAAGCAATAGTACTACAGTATATAGACATAAATGCATAAGAATCATTAAAAGATACTGAATGTTTGATGAAATAGCTTTGCTAGTAAGGATATTCAATTGTAGAGATTTTCGTAGTCTAAAAATATTGGTTCCTCTTTCATGGCTACGCAGTACTTACATATAGCAGCTAACTGATCTCCAAAACAATCCATTACGTGGTCTCGTAAAATATTTACCTGTTCTATTACTAATTCTTAGTAGTAATTATTGTGAAGGAGATGGCAGAAAGGTAGAGCAGTCGATATGGAGTAGCTGCTATTATTTTTATTATGTATTATCCCCGATATTGGCATTCCTTTATAAACTCGTTAATAAGCTATTAAATATCTTTTGTTGTAATTTTCTTGTTATTTTATTTTAGAGCGCTCCATTCATAATGATAGATAATGATTATGCTATTACTGGTAAAAAGTATAAAGGATATATCATCGATTTAATGGATGAAATTAGTAGAAATTTAAATTTTTCGTATAACGTGAGAGTAGTTGCGGACGGTTTTTATGGTACTGAAATCAGTGTTAATGGTACCTTCACATGGTCAGGAATTATTGGCGAAATACTTAATGGGGTGAATATCAGAGTTTATGTTAACATTTACATGATATTTGATAATGTACGAGTATGTGTTAATTCTTATCTGGCTTCGTGTGTCAATTATAGTACCTTAAAGTACTCGTTATTAATCATGAAACAGTAGTCGAGAAGATTAGTAGCTGTTGATGTTGATAATAATAAAAGCCTCGAAGTAGCATAGTAGCCTGTGAAGATTTCTAAGCAATCGTTGCAAAAGTTGCATATCATTTTCATCACAGCTAATTAACATAAATGTTGATTTATGACTTTTCAGCTAATAATATACACATTTAATATTTTATAGGATAATTCTGTGTTGCATTAGGCTATTTGAGATGCAAAAGGAGCTATTAGTTATTATGTAGCTCTTCTTTAGTAGATTGCTATAAGTGTAATACAATACTGTATTTTGACAAAATTTTTAAATCTTACTTATGGGATTCTTTCTAATAGCAAACCGATATTGGTGCTGCACCATTGTCTATTACTCCTGAACGCCAGCAAATTATAGATTTTACTATGCCCTTCCTTGATGAAGCTTTAACCATTTTAACAGCAACCAAAGCAACTCAACCAGCTTCTTTATTTCAGGCATTCTCTCCTCTTAAAACTGAAGTTTGGATCGGTATTTTGATATCAATGATTATCGTAGCAGCAGTGATTACCTGTATGAATCGCTGGAGTCCTTTTGATTATTATGGTAGAGCTATATACAGATTGAGAGCCTCAAACAAAAGTAAACACATGGAAAATGGATTACAGAACAGTTATAAATATTGGCAAATAGAGAAAGAATCAGAATCAGAAGTATTTTCATTTAGTAATAATTTATGGTATGCATTGGCTTCAATTTTATTACAAGGACCTGATAGGACCCCAAGATCGATATCTGCGCGTTTAATTACTGCAATTTGGTGGTTTGCTTCCGTCATCATTACAGCAACTTATACTGCAAATTTAACTGCATTCTTAACAATTAACAGTTTACATACTAGTAAGCTTAAGTAACAATTACAATCCTGCTAAAAATAATTTATGATGACTAATAATGACATCGCTATTATCCTGTCTAATTGATGAATATGAATTGAACGCTATCATTCTTATTTTTACTTTTTTGTTGAATTAATTTAGCCTTCAGTTCCTTACAGGATCTAGCTAGAAATCCAGACTTGAATTACGGTGTTCTAGCTAATAGCAGCTATGAATCTTTCTTCTCAAAAACTACAATATCGCCCTATCAAGAAATGAAAAAAAATCTAAAAAATGTGATTACTACTGAGGATGGCATTCAACGTGTACTGACCAGTAAAAATGAGCAGTATGCTTTCATTGGAGGTGCTACAATGCTTAGCTATGCCCAAAGTAAGTACTGTAACTTGACTACCATTGGAAAATTTAAAATAGACAGATTAAGTCTAGCAGTGCCAAAAGGATCACCTTATTGGGAAGAAATTAATATGCAGATATTGAAACTAAACGAGTTAGGATATCTAGATAAGCTGAAAGCAAAATGGTATTTAGGCTGCTGATAGATTTTTAAGTTTCAAGTCCAAATAAATGTGATAGTATGCAAATAATATTTAGCAACGAGATACATTTCTAATCTGTTCTTCTACTGCAGGATTGATGGAAAATGTAAGAATAATGCGCAAGCTTCAAGCCATGATCCTATAAAATTTGAGAATCTTGCAGGGGTATTTTACATGCTGCTAGCTGCAATTGGATTCAGCTTTGCTATACTATTTATAGAATGGATTGTAGCTGCAATTAAAGATACACGAAGTACTAGCACGAGAGTAAGAGAGTATTATCTGATTACTAACCCATTTAGTGACCTTTAGTCAATACTCGTATTACGGCCTTGAATAAAACTTGGATGTAATCTTTTTGATGCAGTACTTCTAGTAATCTTCCCTTTGCTTATACCATTAGGTGATGTCATTTGAGAGGGCCATGAAACAGCGGCTTCGATATGTTTTGGATGACTTATTGTCAGATCTATCTTACAGGACTAAAGTAGATGAATTAAATTCCAAAGATCTTTACCAGATAGGTAGCAGAAAGGGCTCAACTATGATTTAAGTACAGTTGAGTTTACCTATACATCACTGATAAATATCGGATCATATTCGAATGTTTGGATAATAAGTAACAATAAAATCGAGAATGTCAAAGGTACTAATGCGTGCTTCAAATATGTTCGATATAGTCTCTTTGATGAGAGTTAAACATCTTTATAAACTAGAAGGGATATTTCCATATGAATAGATCAAGGTTTTTTGGGGAATATAGGAAAGATTGCATACGATAATTGTAATTTTAACACATCATAATCTTGTTTCTTTATCAGGATTTGATAAGTTAGAATTCATTTCGAATTTTAATTCGGTTTTCATATCATATCAGAGCTCGATAACCAAATCTCTCATAAAAAAAGCATTGAGTTGTGCCTGTTACAAGCAAAATTACCTATGGATGCTGTATCATTGCAAAGCACAGATTATCAGAAATCAAATTGCAAAACATATGCATGTAGTATATAATCCTCTTGAGTCAAATTTTCGGATCCGAAATAGAAGTTTCCATTGCAATATTACTGATTATACTTGTAGTAAAAATGTACTGATAGATATAGAACGTATTATAATTGAAGTTTAATGTGATCAAAATTTAGATTAGGAAAACAAGATTTGAAAGGAAAAATAAATGCGGTAAATTCATTATCATCTCTATCTCTCCGTTTATGCATATCAGATTGCAACTATTCACACACCCGTTATAAATGTAAGCTATTTGGTTACTTAAAATACCCCATGATATTTAACTAACAGCGCTCTAGCTTAAATTTTCTGCTTAATTATAATTCTCCACGCCATTCTTATTTCAAGATTTTAATAGAAAGGGTACCAGATATACTATAATCCAATAGATTAAAGAATCTGATACGTAGTGTTAGAAAAATGTTGCAGCTTTTGATTGCTAGAGTTAAAATTCAATAATCTGGCACTTTATTGCAGTCCAAAAGAGTGCCTCAAAAGCATCTACAGTAGTCATATCTAAATAATTAGCCTTACTAAAACATTCAATTGATCACTTCTCATTCAATTGAATAAAAACTTCGATTTTAGAGCACCTTACTAAAATATTATAGCATTAATTTAAGTACCATTAGGAGCTAGATGACAGAGTCAAATGTATCAGTAGGCAATAATGATAAAGTCTAATGCAACGTCAAATAACTCTAGAAAGGATTAAAAATGAATTAATTTGAGAGCTCTAAATTTCTGAAAACATCTGTACATATCAAGTTTATTAGTTTGCGTTGATTTTTAATTCTTCTATGTCGCCGAATAATGACTAAATATTTGTCTTATAGTCTATAACCTTATCTGACAGTTAAAATTTTAGTAGTGATTATGATATCTCTTTTCACTTTCAAAATATATATAACATATATATTACTGCTTTAAGATATATTGCTATGTAATATTCTTCGAGATATACTATATACATAGGAGGTAGTTGACGCTTCATGTGATAAGAGGACATATAGTAAAATATAGATCTGTTCTATAGCTTTGAAGTTGACAGTAAATATACTTTGGCGGTAATCAAAAATACTTTCTTACCATTACGTTGATGTATAAAATAGTACTATGGAGTTGCATAATTATTCCCTTAAGAATGGCTGAACCATTCTGTCTAGTCATGGACCGCAAGATAAAATACAATCTAAACTATTGTCTTCCTAGTGCTATTTAAGCCGTAAGAAAGCGTCTGCTAAATACATAGTATTGGCTTTTATTCATGTCCATTCTTGTTTCTTCAATAAAAATTAATTGAAAAAAATGACAATAGCAGGGTTTGATTAGTGAACTAAGTAAAGGATTAAATATCTTTGATTAATTACTGTCTATGATATGATACTCAATCTTATACAGAATATCTTAAATATATGATATTGAGTCATGCTTGATTGGGTAAAGGAAAGGTCATGGTGATATGTCCATTATAGTCCATGAATAGGATTTTATTAATTTATTGCTTTTTTTACATTTCAATATTTAAACATTTTCTTTGATATCAATAGGAGATATTGTATGGATTCGAAATAAAATTAAGAGAAAGTTTCGATAAGCTATTAAAATATAAATCTTGATTAGATCTCTATTATAAGACATCGCTTGCAAAGCGTCTGGTTTACATTCACCATCGGTAGAATTTGGGATATCTACAGTCAGAAAAGTTATGTCCGTACCAATTTGGAACACGTTAATAATTTTTCTGATTTATCAAGGAAATCGCCCTCTTTCTAAAGTTCTCACTAAAGCTGAAACAACTTATAATATAGGTCAGATGAATTCTTGGTTAAATTGATCATGCTTTAATTTATTAATCTGCTAAGTAGATGATCAAGCCTTTAATATTATCATAAGTAATAAATCTTATAAAGCCTATCACTTTTCATGTTTTAGCGCAATTTTTGCTATGTTAATATATGAAATAATTTTAAAGATTTACACTAAATTGTTTACTTTATTGTAAAACAGTATTCAGGAGCGAGAAAAATCGTTTAACAATTATTTAAATATGTTATAGTTAGAGCTATCAGTTGATTCGATAATAATGCCACATCAAGTTATAATAATTTAAAATTACTTAAATTTCTTTCATAATATACTTTAATATCTTGCCTTGTTATCCTGCATCTGTCAATAATTGAAATCCAAGCTACTAGTTACATTAGTAATAGCGAAAAAGAATCATAGAATACAGATTGAAGAGTGACATGTCCAGGAATAACACGAATGGAAATTTTTCATTCATAAATAACGATGCAGAGACGGCTGAGATTACCTTAAAAATTTTTCTAGTTTAGCTAATTAAAACGAGCACTGCTTGAGTAGCTTATCATTTTGCATGAGATAAATCGTCTGAATAGGATGATATTGATTCAATGTCCTCATTTTTAAGCGCTTACGATATACTCGTATATTATCTAGTATCCTGAATGAAATCAGCCATTTCTACAGTTTCATGAGTAAATTTACGAGTACCATATATAGATCTCGTGCGGGGCGTTTAAGTTTCACTTATATAGTTCGCTTTCTAGTAAAAAGGATTGTCTCTTAGACATGGCAGTGATATCCTTGCATATTAGCTTCTTTATACAATTTTTTAGTTGCCAAGACTGTAAAAGTTGCTGATGCCATTCGCGTTACTTGAGATATACTTATCATAAGAGAAATTGAAATTCGAATTTAATTTAAATTTTTTCGTATACCTATAAGTTTTATTCGCTTTTCTTAATAAAACCGCAATACTAGTAGTATATAAATTTATATCTCGTAATATCTACGTTCCACAGTATTTATTACATTTGAGTAAAAGTATGAAGATAAACACGTTTTTAATTATAATTTGGCATGTATATAGGAAGTTTCATTTATCAATTTATACAGCAATCACAACGCTATTTAATTTAAGGTCAAACTAGTCATATTTTAGTTTATTATTCAGTAGATAAGCATTTTATATTAAGTGTACTGAACTTGGCCTTGATAATGAATATCTTTTTATGTTTTTTTAGGATTAGATTAATTAATTATGCTATCTTCCTGTCAATCAATTTTCAACTTAAGCACTGTACGGCTAATTAGCAATCAGCTGATAAAGACATTATATCTGTGATGTTGCCGAAGGTTGAGAGTTCGACATTAGTCGCAATAAATTACAATAGAAAAGTTAATAGAAGAGTAATCCTTATTGAGCTAGTGAAAGAGAATAATCGTGTAAGATTATCGTGCAGGTAACGATGTGACTAGTCGAATAACTATAGTAGTGTAGAATAGGTAAAGCGTGCAAGCTTACCGTGCACCTACCAGAACTAACTAATGAAATTGGCGAAAGAAGATAGCTTTTATTACATTAAGAGCATAGCAGGAGGAAATTACTTATAGACACGGATGATTCATAATAATATGTTACTTCTATGTAAGGGTAATACTACGGCATAATCTAGCTAGAGTCTAAGAGATTTCCACCGTGTAAATTTGCTAAATATAAGTTAAGCATATTTAGAGTTATGTTACAGTCTAGTGGAAATTAGCGTTTCACTTTAAATGGACTACGCCGTATTTAGAAGTAAACACTACAATATTATCAAGATTTAATTACATAGATCTATTAATTGATATATTGCCTTTCCTGGTTAGAAGTATTAAATAAGATTTAGCGATGTTTACAATATTCTTATCTATACCATCAAAATTAACTGCATCCAAATTAATTCTTTTATTGTTTTGATAATTAATCAGTTTCAGTTATTGTAGGGATGAGTTAGCAGTTAATTATCTAACGGCATTATACGTATCGAGAAAACAAAGTTAATCACATAGATTCAATATTTGAATTACAAACTGGTGAAAGTATTGGATTTAATCATCTACCGGTAATCATTCTAATGATTCAGGCATATATTTTTGAGATTAATCTGGTTAAAATTGATTTCGCCGTCATTTTGTCGATTAATTTCATTTTTGCAGGGATTACTCAGTAGTAATTACGTGTAGCTAGGAAATATAACTCATCCACATAGATGGACTATTTGATTAGCAAATGATGTAAAAAATTTAATTTAATTCAGTCATGTTAAAATTTTAAACAATTCTTACTCATATCGTCAAGCTTCATTTTTCCTTCAAAATTATTGCAGCTACGGTTTTACTGATCTGTTTCAATTCAGCCTACAGATTAGCTAGAAATTAGTTAGCTATTGGCTTTGTCCGTACCAGAAAGTAAAATGTTATGATACAGACTAATTAAATTGATTGAGAATTGTAAGCAATTTTAACAATTCCTTTATAACTTTTATGTAGTTGAGATTGATAGATAAAAGTTATTTTAGCTATGTCATTGTAAATGAATCTCTATTAAATTACAGTATTAGTAGATAGCTGCTACAGTACCGGCAATTACAGGTTATGGACTATCATAAATCAATCACATGGATTATTTGACTCATATCTGATTTTCTTGGCAATAATATGCCTATTTATTTCAATAAAACCATGTTATGTATG